ATAAAAGTTTCCGATAAAATTGCCCGTGTCAGTTTTATTTTCGATTCTTTCGTGGAGAAAGCTGTGTGTTATTTCGTGCGGTTTTCTTTACCTGATCACGCTCGTTTGAAGGCTGGGAAGAAAAAAATCAGCAATAACAGGCAGCCTCCCTGTGGTGGTGTGTTAGACCCGTGGGAGTGGTGGTCGGGCTTACAGGGTGGTGGTGGTGGTGGTGGTGATGACGATGGTGGTGGTGATAGTGATGAAGATCGTGGTGGTGATAGTGATGAAGATGGTGGTGGTGATAGTGATGAAGATGGTGGTGGTGGTGATAGTGATGAAGATGGTGGTGGTGAAGAAGATGGTGGTGGTGATAGTGATGAAGATGGTGGCGGTGATAGTGATGAAGATCGTGGTGGTGATAATAATGAACATAGTGGTGGTGATGGTGATGAAGATGGTGGTGGTGATAGTGATGAAGATGGAGGTGGTAATGATGGTGGTGATGGAGATGGTGGTGGTGATGGTGGTGGTGATGGTGGTGGTGATGGTGGTGGTGATGGTGGTGGTGGTGGTGATGATGGCAGAGACACTGGTAATTGATGAGGCTCGAGAGTGGGGGGTGGGGGGGTGGACGTTGAGGTGGGGAAAGGTACACCTTCCAAATACCCATCCAAGTGACATAACCCCCTCTCCTTCCCCCTTAAAAAAACGCCTCTTGCCGTAAGAAAAAACCCAAAATCAAACAAACTGAGGTATCATTGAAACACTGAATACCAAAATCTGAAGACATACAGCTAAGAAAAGTAAGTGAAAAGGGCAAAGAAACCTATAGCTTCTCACACTGCTACACTCAAGTTTGTTGACCATGGTACAACCAGCAGACCAAAAAGGTACCCCCCCCCCCTCCCCCTACCACACTCTTTGTAATCTGAATCGTGTATCAACGAAAAACACAATGAAAACTTCCAAAAAAAAAAAGAAAGAAAAAAAGGAAGGCAGTAATTTAGGAGAGGTAGGGTCGTAGGGCAAAGTGATAAGACATGAAGGAAGAACCCAGGGAAAGAGAAGAAATGGGACATACTACAGGCACCCTCCAACCGCTTACAGTCCACACACAACCCGGGAAGCAGACTAAGACCGTAACAATAGTGTACTTCATACATGTATGAAGCGTACATATCTCCGTCTCCATCAATACAATTGAGATCATTGAGGAGGCAGTTTTCTGACCCTGCCTCATGCCAGGGTCCATCCGAGCTGAGAGGGATTCAATATCCCAGTAGAAAGACCGAGATACTCGATACAACTTATCCCAAACGGGGCAAAGCACCTGACTACTACACATCAAATTATTGTAAAAATGGCATTAATTCCGACCATACGATAAAGAACATCTCAAAAACCCAAAACAAAACAAAAAACAAACTATGGAACAAAACAAGAAATAAATAAAATGTAATATCTACCGATGGGGTATCCTCTAACCACACACATAAATGTGTGAGAGAAGGAAAGAGAGAGAGAGTGAGAGAGAGAGAGAGAGAGAGAGAGAGAGAGAAAGAGAGAG